GGGGGGGCAGTCATTCGGACCCTGAGAGAGGGGGGGGGGGGCGGGCCCCCCAGGCCCCTCCCCTGGATCCGCCACTGCACTTTGTGTATGGGTAAAGGCACTAAGTAATGACTTCAGTACAGAATTGTTCTGAAAAAAGTAATATCCGTGTAACATAACCCCTTGAGGAGTGGCCAGAGAAAACAGATGACATTTCGTGACGACACCAACGGTTTTCCTGCAAAATGACATCTGAGAAACAAGCACAGAAATTGCATACTGATGACACGTCACTACCCAGATCTGGGTAGTGCTTCTGATTGGTTGAAGCAAATTTCACCAGTCATCAGTATGGAATTTCTGCACTCGTTTCTTAGACGTCATTTTGCGGGGAAACCAGTGGTGGCGCCGCAAGATTTCGTGTGTTTTCTCAGGCTACTTTAGGAGATTTCAATAAGAGACAGTTGATTGTACAATCCTACAACGTGTACAATTAAAAATGAGGCCAATCAGACACACCCACACTAATTACGATTACAGACTGGTTGATAAAATGGCAACACTACATTATTTGACCACATTATGGTTCTTGACTAAGTTTTCAGACTAAACACTAAAGACAAAAACTGCTCATAGTTGATGGTTATCCATCCATTTCGATTTGTGTCAAAGCCTTGGAAAGCATTTGTCAACATCTAGAAAAGGAAGCAAAAGATAGACGATTTCAATAAACTTGCATTAATTTCAAATCTGGGTAGTAAATGGGATACACCACTAGTCTTTTCCATTTAAAGAAAACAATACTTGAGTTCCCACTAGACACTAAGTAGGCGTTAAGCAGACTAAGCTCAAGTCAACCTAAGTCAGTTGAAGTATGCTTAATCATTCAGATGGAAAAAATTCTTTTCATGCCAACCTGTCAAATTTCATTACGATAAGTGATAAACACTTTTTTCTTTGGTTTGCCCCAAGACAGTTACTAACAGAAACCTAGAAAAAGATGAGATCAAGAGGCCTTAAGATCACTATAATTGCCGCAATGGTGGTTTTGCTTAATTTGCATAACATAGCAAAACCTCATGTTTCTCTGTGAAAGAATGATTGGAGACTTGGCACAGGAGAGTGAAAACCTCCTATTTGTCACTTCCCCTCTGCAGATAAGGATTTGCCAAAGACAGACATAAGGAGACGTCCGGTGGAATACAGTGAAAAATTGAATTTGATGTGGTCCGCCAGGCACAAATTTTTTTTTTGGCAGGTTGTGCCAATAAAAAATATATATTGACTTAACATGTTACCTAGGCAAGCATTAAGTAGTGTTTGAAAGAAACTTAAGATTGACTTAGTCCCTTTGGGTTTGCCGCTCCTAATTCAAAAATTGCACATAAATTAACTGAACTTTGGAAAATTCTAAGACAGATTTAGTTGTCTAGTATGAACCCAAGTAATAAAATACCTTATTAGTACTTAATTTCTTGACTTTGGCAAGACAGTATTTTGTGGGGTTATGTTTTCACAATTTCAATGGGCAAACATGGTGGCCATGGAGATAGCTAATTTTGAGATATACGGCTGAAAATCTACAGGTTACCTAATTTTAATGTGCTCCTTCAGTTCCTGCTAACAAAATTTTTCAAACGTGAGCTGTTTTCATGTTTACAGAAAGTTGATCACGTGATCAACTAATGCAAAAGGCCTATTTTTCTTGTTAGTCTTGTACCGGCGCATCTCTTGCTCTCTAGCATGACAGTTTTATACAACGTGAATGACAAGCTGCATAGCGCCTATTGTAAACTATAAAAATCAACTATATTTTATACTTATTTTCATATATTACTTTTTTAGGTGGAAAATGGGGTTAAAATATTTTATTATCAAGTAAACTTGCATAATTTCCACAAGTCAGAGGATTAGAACAAGTCTACACTGCCACACTAACCTGGATCACAACACAGCACTGAATGAAGTCATCAAAATTGACTACTCCACGTCCACTTCTGTCAAACTTTCTTATCAGAATACCATAGAATCTCTCTGACAATCTGTAACCTGCAAATACGCAAAGTTTTGCAGCAATGAATTAATACCACTTCGTACCACAAGACTGCTAAAGACAGGATTCAAGGAGTTAATCGAAATCTGAAAAAAATGGCTTTTTCCCCGAGAAACAGGTAATAGCACAGAATAGATGCCCGTTAACTAACAATAAATAAAAAATATAAATTGGCAAATAGTGAAATAAACAGGAGAGCACAAATGAATGGTATAATACCATGAAGGATCTTCTTTTGCAGAATACCGTCAGCCAAAAGGATTAAAAACAGCATATCATAGGGCTAGATGATACTGCAGTAACACACATTAAAATATAAATTACTGAAATACCACTTGAAAAAACCTTAATACTGCAATACCATAAACCCAAATGTCCCCTTCATCATTGACAGGCTAGCAAATGTCAGCCAATACCAAGATTGGACAGTTTAGCCCTTTTAAAAAACCATTAAGAGTGACTAACATTTCATTTCTCCTTCTGGTAGCACACAAAGGTCATGAGAAAAAAGGACATGATCAACAATGGAAAAAGGTCTTGATTGTTAAACAAACTCTCCTCATCAGTACCATAGGAAACATAGGAAGAACAGTGGGGAGAATATGTACTCTGATATCAAAGTTTACACTTTAGTGAACATTAGTGGACAATATAATTTCCAAGCATCACATTTTACTTACCAAAACTTGTCAGAGCTAAAAAAGGAAAAGAATAATGTTTCAGATTAACAAGGCAAGAAATGTTGAATCACATTCACTCTGACTAGCATAGTCATAAGTATTCAAAAATTTGTCTTCGAAAAGATTGTCAGAAATAATCACAGCTGTAGTATCAGTTAGCAACTTTCTGCAGTTTTTTTACTCCTGTTATTATTTGTTATGCAGTAAGACACAACTGCTATGCAGAGTGGATGTTATTTAGAAAAGTTTGGAGTCACAACCCCCATTAACTAATCTTAGGCTCATGGGATCAACTGGTTCTGTAACAAACTGACTAAACAAATATTTATTGATTTTGCGCTTTTAATCCTAACTGAATTATGCAAAGAGTCATGTTTTTTGCCACTTATCTTTATTTCTGGTACTAAAGATGGCTTTGAAGCAATGGAATACGATTTCCATTTGGATATATTCCGTCTGCACAAACAGGACTACCTTTTCAGAAATGTGCTTGCCCTCTTGCCCTGGGTAAATTTTCCACTGGAATGACCTCAAAGGCCATGTTCCTTTTGCTTTCTAAACAGATTTTCAAGAAAGCTTTTCGTAAATGGTAAACAACCCTTGTTTCACAAGGGTTTGTGAGATACCTTTATCTAGTACTGAATATATTAACGGTAGGAAGGAAAGCTAACTGAGGTAGCAATCCCTAATAATCTTATTATGGTTAAGTTCAATAGAACTGGTTAACACCTGTTTGTAGCTCTCTCTTGTCAATGGTTCCTGAATTATCTTTGTCATAACTTCTAAAAGTGTTCTGCCAATCTGTTATGTACTTCCAAAGGGATGAAAACTCATTAAAGGTAATAGTTCCATTATTGTCTCTATCAAACATTCCTGGAAAACAACATTTAGACATTGACTGTAAACAACCACAGAACAGAACAAAGGTTACATTTCAACAAGCGTTTCAGTCCACTGTAAAATAAACACATCTCTATCAGTGAACTCTAAAGAATTCTGGAACAAAAACGTTCTTTAATGAATAATTTTGTGCAAAATGAAGTGTTCAAAAAGAATTTGGAAACTGGAGTGCCGTTCTTGACCCGTGTTTGTTTGCCAGCTAGCGGCAGTACAGCAAAACCTGGACTCCCAAGAGACTGATATTTTTTTTTTGACAGATTGACAAGCAGCTGACCAAGCAGGAACTTTCATTTCATTGAAACAGAAATTCAAAACACAATAAAACCTCCATGGTCGAATGGTCATCCTTTTCTCCCTCTCTGTCCCAATCTCTCCTCCTTTTTACCATTTATAATTATTTGTGCTGAATATTTTTATTTTTTCGCTTGTCATGCAATGCTCTGAGGAAAAAAAGATGACCACTCACAGTCTAGCCTACCCTGCGAGCAGTGGTTTCTCCAGGCCGGACGCTACCGGAGAGAAACTTTCTCTCCCGTAGCGTCTGGCCTGGAGAAACCACTGCTTGCGGGGTAAGTCTAGCCTCACTGGGGATATCAAATGCCCATGGGAGAGTGGAAATGCCTATTAAAAGCTGACTGAGCCATTAGCATGGCACAGTATGTTTGATTATTATTATTATTACTATTTATTTTAATATTATTATTATTTTTGTTGTTTTTTTTTTTTTGCTTTGGCACAAAACTGGTGTAATGTCTTGACTGTACAAGCAATCAAACAGCTAGCCTCGAAATTACAGCATTTGAAAAAAGCTGGAGCTTTTTACTGCAGATTTACTGTTTTCTTTTTACTCATAAGGTATGAGCTTAAAAATGACTTTTGATGCAGAAAGCGGGACATTTCTGCATCAGCTGCTGTGACCAGGTGCCAAAACAGAAAGTTCAAACACAAACCGATCATAAGTCGCACAGTTTCCGGATTAAAAGGTGTCCATGTTCCTGTTGATAAACAAGACGGAGGATCAATGAGATTGCTATGTTTAAAAAAGTGACATAAAACGAAAACGTTTGAAAGTCATCTAGCTTACACTCTAAACTCGAGATTGCTGCGAATCTCTAAATTTAGAAAAAGTTTTTTTTTTTTACGAAAAAAAAAATATATCATAGGAGAAGAACTCTTTTTTCTGTAATTCAAACAGGCAGTTTGAATTTACGAGAACAAAGTCTTATTCTATGATTTGTTTTACATTTTTTTCTTAAAAGTAAGTGAGATCGTACCATTTGACAAGGCCTGTTGAAGTTCGTTTGTAGATATCGCTCCACTCCGATCTTTATCCACCCTAAAAGACCCACATTAATGGTCAACTAACATATCAGTTATTCTTCTTCAACAAATGAGGACTTAAGCTTTACCTCTGGAAAACGTTCCACAAGAAATTTTGATCGTGCTGTTGGTGAGGTGGAGGTTGACCATAGTACGCCATGATTCGAAATAGGCAGCAACTGCGCGGCTGCTTAGCCTACAAAAATATCCTTAGCAGGGGTGGGTTGCTGGTTTACAAAACAGTTTCAACCGAGAAAACGTTTGAAAAACCAACAACAAAAATTATCTAGATTGTGTATCTTAAAGTTTCACATTGATAATCAACTCATCATTTTATTGATGTGTTTTAAAGTGTGAAAAAATATATTTTTAGAAATTTATTCCCCCACACCTCCCCTGAGCCTCATCTCGATGCGGAAAAGAGATTTGGCGCGTGACAGTACATTCTGGTATTTTCTGCATGATTCCTGAAATAGACATGAAATATAGCAGACAATTAAATGACTTCAAATCGTAATGGCTGGCAGAGGTCCGACTGTAGATAGAAATTTCCTTTGGAGCATCTTTGCCAAGTAAGTAGAGTCTGTAGATATGATTGCCCGAAAAATTATTTGAAAGTGCGCAACGAAATACGTGCATAAAATCCGTGTACTAATACACGGATATGAGCCTACCGTTTATTCAGTCATTTGGAAAGTGAATTTCAGCAGAATCTGTTTAGGAAGTCTATTTCTGGGGCATTCAGACATAGAAATGTCAGAACAATGAGAACAGTAAATCTGATTGCTTGAAACTTCCTTGTTTTTTGAATAAACTTAATTATAAGCTTATTAGCTTTAGGTCATCATCTATAAATCAGAACTAAGGTTATATATGGGACAGTAATGCATCAGTCAATTCCAGCTTTTTCAAGGAAACGAATAAAAAAGACTCTCCTGAGGCCCAGCCAGGGTAAAGTCTGACAAGCGACATAACCCAAAAAATATCGACAACGCGTAGAATGAAATCGCGACAGTGACGGCAAAGCCGACAATAAGCGACAATAAACTCCGGCGCGAGACGTTTTAAAATTCAGACGGGCGAAATGGGCCCCCCCCCCCCCCCCCCCCCCCCCCCGAGGGAAAGTACAAAAAACGAAAAAACCCAAAAAATATACGAACCGGGTAAAAATAAATCCGGGCAGTGAGGGAACAGCCCAAAATAAGCGACAATAAACCCCGGCGGGGGACGTTTTAACATTCGGACGGGTGAAATGGGCCCCCCCCCCCCCCCCCCCCCTGGCAGGGCCTCTCTCCTGGGAGGTGTTTGTTCATTGTTTCAATGGATTTTAGGCTGAATTGCATAAGTACTGTAACTCCTTTCATACGACGAAGTCAAGGATGGTCATTGCAATCTGGCAGGGTCCTGGACTAGTTGCAACAAAAATGCCACTTTTTCGATATTCGAATCTGCTGCAATTTTTATCATCTCCAGACCAGGGAAGGAACCTCCCCTTCCTCTCTGCGAGATCAGCTCGTAAAATGCTTCATCATTTGCCCTTCAAATTGAGCCCGTTGTGCCCATCTGGCTTTCCTCCAGTGCCAGCTTTCAAATGTCTTTGTGCCTACCAACTAATTTGTATTTGAAATAATTGAAAACCTCGCCAGGGTGACAATTGACACTTGCATGATGGGTGTAAGGGTGCGGCGGTGGGGTTAGCAGCACTTGCAGTAACAGTTCATTTCTGCCCTTGTGCCCATCCTGTAAGTGTCAATTGTCGTCCTGGCCTGTAATGCAACTCCGAGCATCCAGAAAAAGGTCACACCTCACCTATGGCATGTAAATTACTTTTACACCCTTTGCGTGTAGCATGAGTTTGGGTGCCTGTGATGCAACAGTCTTCTAGGGTATGCACAACAAATTAACTTGCAAATTGGTGGTTGGATATCCTGTGGCCTGGAACCAAACTGGTGGGGCTGTATAGTAGGTTAAGAGTTGAGGAGATTTTCAGGGTGGGATGATTAACTGTGCACAACTTATGAAGTTGCATACTTATTACCAAATTTGCCAGCATTGCAAACCTGCATTTTAATGGTTTTTTTGCAGAATCGACAAAGACAGGAATGGGCGTATAACTGCTGATGAACTGCAACAGGCATTATCAAATGGTAGAACGAATGTCAGCATTTCAGATAAGCATTAGTTCTAGGAAATTGGAGAGGACACCCAGGGACCCTCTTGGAACTACGATCAATGAAATTACTTTAAAATTCCAAAATTAAGCCCCAGGGCTTATATTTTTCAAAGGCCCTTTTTGAGGGGCTTATGTTTGGAGGGGCTTATATTCGGAGGGAAATTTGCGTTTCAAAATTGAATGGGCTAGCCTTTTATTTGGAAGTAAATTTACCATTTTTGCTTTGTTTCACTTTGTATTTGAGGGCAATTTTCCAAGTACAAGCCCCCGGGGGCTTATATTTGGAGGGGCGATGTAACCGAGGGTTTTTTGCATTACCAGTCTGGGGGGCTTGTATTTGGAGGGGCTTATACACGTGGAGGGGCTTATTTTCAGAATTTTACAGTATTTTAAATTCTTAACCAACTCAGAGACATGTCCACTTCATAGAGAGGGACAGTAAATGATTACAAATGGCAGGGACCAATGATTAACTGATGTTCTTTTAATGATAAGATATCTCTCAGATAGCCTGAGAAAACAGCCGACATTTTTTGATGCAACCAATGGTTTTCACATAAAATGACGGCAGAAATTTCATACTGATGATGCATCACTACCCAGAGCTAGGCAGTGCTTCTAAATGGATGAAGCAAATTTCAACCAATCAGAAGCATTACCCAGATCTGAGTCGTGACACATCATCATTATGGAATTTCTGTGGTTGTTTCTCAAAAGTCATTTCGCGGGGAAACCAGTGCTGGCTTCACAAAATGAGGGCTGTTTTCTTAGACTGAGGTCCCATTAATTGCATATCATTCTAAATCTTCCAACAAAAGAGTGGACAAAGACAACTTCCATTTTACTAACGGAAGTAAAGCTGAGTTGTTTTCTGGAACAACACAGTTCCCAGCCCTGCTCTTAGCGTCTCACCACCCATGCATGTCACTATTCTAAGGATTTCCTCGTTAAAGAGCTTGGATCTATAGATATCATTCTGTTAATTGCCAACGAGCAGCCTCACAAACATGCAATGCTGCGAGGCGGCAGCCTAATAGAGCCGTGCATGATTGTTCCAGGGGCAGAAAAAATCTTTGAATCGATGTAACATAGAGTAATGTAAGGCAACCATGATGTAATGCAGAACAGAGAATGCATTGTTTTCGAGCAAACACGTGATGCAGATCAGAGAATCCACGAGCTGTGTGTGTGTTTGTGAGTGCCGTGTTTATCCGGTCTTCAACCAATCGTCGGGTCGATCATTTCCATCCTAGACAATCTCTGTCACATTTTTTTTGCGCGCTGGAATTTTTTATTGCATGCCGCTAAGAAAAAAAATAACCTAGCAAATTTTTTGTGTCTTTGAATCAAAATAATTTGGAAGGCTTCATTGACGCACCATAAATTTTTTTTTAGCTTTAAACAGAAACCAAATATAAGTCTGAACGTTGAATGTTCACGGACTTAAATGATTTTTCGAGGATTTTAAGGTTGCTTATAAGACCACTAAATTTTACGCAAAATGACTTTTGCGCAACTGTGGACAAATACACGAACTTCAATATCCTGAAAAATTTGCTGTGTAAAGTCGGAATTTCAAATTCTTTATGCAGTAGAACAGTTTAGTTCATTATTTTCAAAAGACAAATTAAAGCAAGGAGCACACGTACACCAAACCCATGATCTGCCTTACCCGCGCATGTCGTGGGAGAACTGCCGTGCGGTTCCCTGCCAACAGCTCCCACATGTATTGTGTGGAGCTGGCACTGAAAGGACTCACCTCGGCAGGAAAGGGTCTTTTATACATGGGTTTTCCCTGGTAACTGACTGACGGCTATGCCCTGCTGATGAGCCCCAAACAGCTGGCAAAACAGGTGTCCATGGCTGCCACTGCCCACGTGATATAGCTGTGCACATGCGTGAGGTACTGGCTCGGCCATGGGTTGGTGTATGTGTGCCCCTTGCTTTAAGTTTGTACTATTTTCAATGCAATCAAATTAAGTTCACTCTATTTTTCATCAGTTACTGTATTTCATGACATTTCTAAACAAATTCAACAGTACACGGGTATAGGTAAAATCTTTGCTAGTTGGCACTTAGCGATAGCTGTAACTAGTTTAGTCACTAATCACCTTTTGGCTGGGGCATCAGTTTTTATTTTGATAGTCCATCAGTGGTAGCACCTGTAACAGGGAGAATTAGCCACTAAACCGGTCTGAGAAATTTCATATGCCAATAAGTAGTGCTAGCTGCAGCCCATAGATTTCTAGGTGATAGAAGTAATTGTTGATATTAATTTTGTCTTGACAGGATCATGGACACCTTTTAATCCAGAGACTATACGTCTCATGATTGGTATGTTTTTTGGAACATTTTTATGCAACAATCTCTAATTGATCTTTGTCGCATCAAAAACTAAGATAAACAATTTTCTCTTTTCCAGGCATGTTTGATCGTGATAACTCAGGCACAATTGAGTTTAATGAATTCTATGCCTTGTGGCAGTATGTGACCGACTGGCAGAAAACATTCAGGAGTTATGATACAGACAATTCTGGAACAATTGATAGACATGAACTGAAAACAGGTATTGGTATAAAATTGAAATTTTGTTAATCATTTGATAGCTCTTTAAACATGACCCCTACAGAATTAATAATTTAAATAATTTTTTATCTTGAAATTTAAAAGTGGCCATATACCTCAACTTTCTAGAAGTCAGCTGTTTAGTTAGTTTAAACCAAATAACATTTTGTTGTGTAATTCCAGAAAATGTCCATACCCCCCACACAAAGGATAAGAAATTCCAAGGGGAGGGGGTCTCAGCTTTGGCGGGGGGCGGGGCAGGGGGAGTTGAAGTATCATTGAGAAAGGGTAGTGGAAAATCTATCATTTAAAGGGGCCTTTGTCTTGATTATAGTAACCCTTATTAGTTCTATTTTTTTCTGACAGTTATCAGTATTACCTGGTAATATATTTAATCCTCAGTTTTAATTTCTCATATATTTTTCTTTTTCTAAAACATTTGTAGCCCTTACAAACTTTGGTAAGTTATCCAGTGTTTTTTTCTTTTTTTAAAAAAAAAATACATTGTAAATATTTTTCTTGAAGTCTCTTGAATTATAGTAAGCACTTGACTCATGTTAAGAAATTAGCAGAAACCCAGTCAGCTTAGAAAACATGTTAATTCCATGCATCAATTTAAGCCAGTTTAAAATACTAGTAAAGCATCACCTGAAGCAAAACTGGAACATTGGAACTGCTTGACAAGAACTATCCAAATTATTCAAAATAAATTTTGATCCGTCTTGTTCCAAAATTTGTCCTTCTGGCCTGGTTTTTAGAATGTGCAAATTCATTTATACTGCTGACAATAACATAGTTGGTTTGTTTATGTCCCCCAAATTTTTCTTCTTCTTTCTTGGCAAAGCCAACTTACATGAAGGACAACAACATAAATGCCAAAACACACACTGGAGTGGAAACTATGCTGAAAGGGCAGACAATAATAAGAGTTAAAGTTCCTACCTAATAAGAAAAAAACCGTTTTTGACTTGCAGGTTACAGGCTATCGGACAAAATGTACACAATGCTTATTACGAAGTTTGATAAAAGTGGTATGGGTGCTATCTTGTTTGATGACTTTATACAGTGCTGTGTTGTGCTACAGGTATGAAAACATGCTGTCAGCAGAGCTTCTTATAATAATCTTATACTTCTGGGCCAAGTTGTTCCAAGGCCGATTAGAGCTTAACCTGGGGTTAAATTTAACCCGGGTTTCTCTTTCTTGTGTTCGAAAGCATTTTCTCGGATAATTTTCTCTGTTATATTTAGAGCTTTCAATTTTTAACTTGTAGACAAAAAGAATTAAAACTGAAATGCTTTTTAAGCTTTCAAATTTGAATTCAAATCTCTCACTAACCCTGGGTTATCTTAACCCGGCTTTGAACAACTCGGCCCTGGTGTCAGTAATGCCTATTAATTTTATACAATGTACATGATGGCATGTGACCTGTTGTTAAACAGACATCATTGTGATATAATCATTAGAGGGTAAAGTGGCCATGTAGAAAAGTGGACTTGTTGTCATCTGGAGTCCTTGAATTCAAGTCTCCGTCTGACCACCACATCCTAGCTAGATTTGTTTCTCAGTGCGCCCATGTTCAACTTTTTGTCCTTGCTTGTAATAGGCAATATTGATTGGGATACTAGCTTAACCTCGTTGTGTCAAAGTATTTGTAGAATTTATTTGTTTCGGATATTTGCTCCACTCCACTAGCCTTTTAGTCTGCTACACAGCTGTTTTTAGTGTCGTCACGCAATGCTCCTCGCCACTAACTGGTGGGAAGGAGCATTGCGTGACGAAACTAAAAACAGCTGTGTAGCAGACTACTAGCCTTTCTCTTATTAAACTACCAAGGGTAAATTAATAGTAAAGATTAATTTATTTTGTATTATTGACTTAGTTTGTGTTTTGTTTGGTGTGGTGTCTTAACCTGTGGTAGCATTCAGTTCTAAAGATTTTGACAAATTTGTACTTTTGAAACCACCATGTTTATTATAGATTCTGACGAATTCCTTCAGAAGCCGTGATTTTAATATGAATGGCTGGATAACGATAGGCTATGAAGATTTTCTCTCTATGGTGTTCATGCTGAACCTTGGAACGTGACATTTATTTGATTACAAGATGCAACAAATAATGACACAATTTGTAACAGTCGGGACGATTTGCAACGACAATTTTCAGCGCAACACAGCATTGAAATGTTGGAACACTGTTGTAATTATTGACAACAATGTCGCAACAAATTATGTTGCAACGCTGTGTTGTGCTAAAAATCGTCGTTGCGAATCATCTCATGTAATATCACCGTAAGATGGAACTGTGTAGAATTTGGATCAATTTATGAGTAGTTAGAAATTAAGAGCAGTGATTTTTTGACCTTTTAAATACAAGAAGAAAGGTCAAAATGGGAAAGAGATTAATAGAAGTGTTAGGTAATATTAATATTGTAGGAGAAGGCTATAAGAGAAAGTTCATGCAAGTAGAAATGTAATTATTATTATAAATTATTGAATAGATGTAATGTTCTTAAACTCAGTATCGTGCTCTGTTATAATAATTTTAAACAAGAGTTGCAAGGAAGTGTTTAAGAAATCTTAATAGGGCAAAAACAGGAAGTCTACTGAAATCATTCGAAAGCTCTCTGTTCAGCATCAACAAAACTTGGATCAGATCAATTCATGTAACCTTAACATTGTCATTCAGTCACTTACAGGGTAACGAGTTGATGTAGGTCTCTTAGTTCATCAAACAATCGTTAACAGATTGGAATGGTTATTAAACCCTTCAGACTCCTTTGTCATATGTTTTTGTGAACCTGACGGTGCACAATGTTCAAGAGCATTCCTAGCATTTTGATCTTATTGACCACTAACGGTGCATTAATTTATTCCGTCACAATTTGCCAAACAGAACACAAAGGATTGTGCACCTTCAGGGAGCTTCCAACATAATTAAACTATAGCACCGTTGTTTTTATATTTGATGTTTGTTGTCTTTCATAACCAGTCTCCTCTAATAACTATGATCAAACTAAAGTGCTTAGAAATTATCATGCACCAGGTTCAACAAAATGTGAAGTAGGAAGCTAGTTTGAGTAGAGTACTTCAATAGATACAGAAAAAAGTAGACAACTTCTCAAAGCAATGCAGCTGTTGCTTTTTATTAGCTGCCCAGTGCTTACTGAAGGCATCAATAATACTATTATTGATTATTGTTAATGAGTTCTTGAATGTCTGTATATATATCAGTAAACAAGAAAATATAAGCATGATATTATGGAAATTTTAAGATAAATTATATATGAATCAATATTACTTTGTGTCTTGTCTGAACATTCTCAATGTTACCAATTCAAAAGACCCCCACCCCCCTCAAAAATCATGTTAGCGACTCTACAAGCCCACAATTTGCTACCTCAACTTCCTTGGCAATTATGAACCTATTTCTCCATTGTTATCTGAAGTCAAACCTTTTGTGTGGTGAGGGTGCTACGTGCTCACAATTTTCTGAACTTGATGCCTTGACTATCAGTCCAAATAATTGTGGTCTTTTTTTTGTTAACTCCAATTCACTTGTCCGGCAGACATGTCTCTGATACTTCAAAAGTGCAAGTCACGACAAAAATTACAGTTAAAGAATTATAGCTGGTGCTGGTATGGACTAAAAAAAAAATGATGACAATCGCAGACCGATTTAATGCAAATCTGTAAGAAGTAAATATTCTTAAAAAAAAAAAAGCACCAACAACAACAAATGTGAAGGCTATAATAGCGATAAAGATGGATGAAGGTAATGGTTATACAAGTCACAGGCAACCCACATTATGCTGGAGTTAGATTCTGTCATGTCAAGCACCTTTTTAAAGATCACTAAAAGACAGTATAGATACCCCCTAAATGGAATGTGAGATCATGACAGGGTTATACACCTAGCTCTAGCTGTTTTAAAAATTGGAGCTAAGGGTAAAAGAGTTGGATGGGCTATAGGTTTCCCTGAAGCTCAGGCAACGAGAAAAATCACAGAAAATAATTTTTCCACGTTGCATTTTCTCAACACATTTGTTTGTTCAAAGATACAATTATAAAATAATGTATACTTGGGTAAACGAAGATGCTGTCATCGTGCCTAAAATTCGTTCCCCAGTAACTCACACTGCACTAAAAATACACTCATTGGGGTCCCCTTAAAAGTAACATTTTCCAGGGGGAATCCCCTGAATAATTGCCAGCAGGGAATACTCAAGTACTATCACGTCACCTTGATATCTACTTTCAGCAGCCTTTCTTGTATTTTTTTTTTACTTCTCGACCATTAAAAACTTTTCAACCACGTTATTTAGACAGCTGTTTCTATATAACATTGAAACCAACACTTCAATTCAGGATTCAACTTGTTTCTTCAGAGGTTTATTACCATAAATCTCATTCAAGTCCTTATCTCTGAACAAGTTAGTATTGTGCATTAGAATAATTTATTTTTAAACCTGGCTGACTCCGCAAGCATTAAGTGAATTCTGTCTTTTGATTAGCTACCTGAAAACTTAAGATGGGCCTATACAGTAAAGACAAGCAACAAAGAACCTGCGGTTTCCAAAGTTAGCCTAAACAGGTTCTTACATAAATGGTTCTTAGGACAAATTTAGGCTATTTAGCTTCTTCTTATTTTCTGGGAAAAAAGGGTAGCTATGGGTATTTATAGCTTATTCCTTATATAAAATCTGCATACCAAATTATTATTTATATATGATCAGTATGGAAAGAAGGACTGAGGCACTGACCGCATGAATTTTGAAGTCCTTTTGTCCAAGTGTACAGAATGTTTTATAGATTTTAGAAAATAAGAACCTGTTTCAGATTTTCGGCTAAACAGGTTCTTGTATATAGAGAGCCTAACTGGCAAAGGAACAGGTTGTCTATGACAACAACAACAACAACAACAACAACAACAACAAAAACAACAAACCTGCCACTTGAGTTGCTGGATCTGTGACAAATATTATTTTATAATAATTATTATTTTATTTTCTACATGTCTAAAGTTTAGTTCTAATATTGCCTCTATTAAAATAAAGCAGCAAACTGATCCAAACGTTTTGGGGACATATTATGTTTTAAGGTTAAAATTTGTTTGCTCTTTTACCCTTGCCTATATATAGTCACCTAAAAAGGCAAAAAAATAGGGTATGTTTTGCAGGCCATTTTTTCTGCTCTTTTCACCAACCATAAGGATGAGTTTGTTGCTTAACAACCCAATTACCAAGAAAGCTTTTCCCCCCTGTTCATGAAGTAAAAATATAAAATATGTGGAAAAAGAAACGTCACAAATGATAAATTGAAAAGAGTGGGTTGTATACTAAACTTCAAGCCCAAAGGAAAAAGTGTTTCTTGGAGGGCTTCAATAGGGCTAACTGTTTAGCATGGAACCAGTCATTTCAATACAAGTCGTTTTGATATGAACTCAAGCGGTGAAATTGCACAAAAATTTTGTTCACTTCAAGCAGAGTTTGCACATGAACAAGAAAAACATTTTGGTTAAATATTCTTCGTTCTTTAAGCCACTTAACGGACGTGAAACTATTTACACCTCGACTGAATATACTTGTATCGAAACCACCATTAACCTTTAGCATAATAGTAAAGACAATTTTAGCTGTATGATGTAACCATATTAATGACAAAATACAAACTGAATGCCATTTAAAAAGCAGTAGCATATTGAAATCAAATAAATTTGGAAGTCAATTTCTGGGAAGAATATCAATTAAAAAAAGACATGTCTGGGGTTCCAAAAAAACTCTAATTTCATTCTCTGGAAAACAACTAGAGGGTGGGTGTATATGTAAACCTCATTGACACCCTCTACACTGTTCCAAGTTTTTACTTGTTACCATATTTATTTAGATACATGCTGCACTTATTAAAATTTTTGTGTTTCCTATGCGGCATTATTATTAAAGGAAGGCATTTATTTCAAAATCACGGACAACGATTACAATGAATCATTTGCAAATGTCACATAAAACAGCGAGAAGTTTTATCTTCTCGCTTTTCGCTGAGATAGGAACATAATATTGGTTGGTGTGATGCACACTCAGAGATTTAAAAAGTCCTTGCAATTCTCAAATAAATGCCACATTCTTCTGATTTGTGCTACATTTATTCCAGAAGAGCATTTAATCAAGTAATAATATTGTATGTAATTTATGCACAGTGCCTAAGATTCCTCCTAAGTGGTTGTGTTGTCCTTATATAGAGAAAAACGTTGTCCTCCTGGGACATTATTTTATTAGCTACAAATTAAAGTTAATTAATAAGTTATCATCTATAGTTTATCACTATTAATAAATATTTAAAAAGCCTGTTAAAAAGTCCTGCTTTTTACCATAATATTTTAAAATATTATAATGATCAAAAAACCTTTTCGTTTAGCCTGCAAGCATAGCCAGGTGGCGATGGGCTCAACCCTCACAAGTTTCTATAAAAATATTTAAAAAAAAAAATTCTGAATAATAATATTATTTCTAGGTAAATTTTTAAATTGTTATCTCCTTAGTCTCTAACTAAGGTGGCTGTTTCAACAGCCAGTGTGGCATATTTGTACTTGCTGACGGTGACACAGAACTATAACCTGCAAAATTAATAGAAATACATTATTTAAATTACTGGCATAAAATAACGAAGATAAACGCACACTGGCACTTGCTGTCAAGAACATTTTACACCATTATTATCATAGTGGATCACTAGCATACCCATGAATGCATTTACCCGTCCCTCCTTGTCCACCACAGTTCAGTTCTATACTACTTGGTTTGATTAATTGGGTGATAGTATAAATCCAGTGCGACCACATGAACCGAGGCCACCCAGACAAAAACTTTGAGACACATTCTGAAATTAGCCAATCACACCTCGAGATCAAATCACCGAAACTGCGTTTCACTCGCTGAGCGCCATTTATCATGAAATGAGTGCCGTTGCCTTTAGGTCAGGTTGTTCAAAATCTCTTTACTGCTGGCTTTGATTTTGGCCAGCCCAGAAATTGTCAAAACATTTTTCAGCTTGATTTATACAAACGTCACAATTCCTTATTTATATCCTTTAGAAAAATGGTTTGCAATGTATTTTGAACTGCGTCTAAGTACGATATTATGCATAATTTCATTATTTAGATCTCCACTTGTCATTGGCTAATTTCAATCCCATTGTGTAGTTATCTACCTAAAAGACATGGCAACATTGTAGGCTCAATTTCTACTGCTCTCTCAACGTCTTGAGGAGAGACAGCTGGATACACGAGTGGCCGACGTTTGTGACATAAATTAAAAATCTAATATTACTTACGTGTGGCTACAAAATGCTGGAAATGGGAAATGTCATCCGACACAGAACACGTTTTTGTTTTTTGCTTGGTGGCTTTTGTTTTTTGTCCTTAAACTCAGCAGCAACACCAATTGATTTCAAATATTTTCATTGATCTTGCATTAGCGAAGTAAGGGTGAAATTACAGTTTGGAAAATACAGTAAAAACCCACATCTAAGAACCCAAAATTTAAGAACCTGTTTAGCTAAAATTTCCATTTTAACCCCCCTTTTCATAAGAACCTATTTTGAATCTTTTTTTCCAAAAATGAAGGCACAGATGGAAATACAGAAAAAAAAATTAATCTAGGTGTCAGTCAGAAAGATTCAAAGACATGAACTCAGATGAAAACCATATCATGTCTTTGCCAACGCAGCATTTTATGGACACCACAGAATGAACGACATGCATGCTAGTACTTTGGAAAGATAAATTAACTGTATGGTTATCACCTAAACTGTATTCTAGATAATTTGCAACCATGCCAACATGATGTAACGACTTCTCCTCTCTATAGACCTTTTTAGCGTGTATGCTTTGTTTTCCCATTTCAGGCCACGTTATGTTACCCCTGAGAACTGTTTCTTTCAAATATCGTCCTAAATGCAAGTGCATAATTTTGTAGGCATAATTTAGAACAAGGCAAAAGACAAATTCCTTTGAGATGATTACATGGTCTGAACTGGAAAAACAAAATGTACAAACTAAAAAGGTCTATCAAGCTTAGCAACATCACCAAT